ACCTAGGGATGATCCTACTTGTGGCTCATCCCATACTCGATTCTATACATAAAGCTAAGCCTACTTCCAGCTAATCCGCGGGAGTCGTATAAAGTGTAAAAGCTTTACACTTTGGTTGAGTCCCAATCGTACTAAAGTACAAATACAGTATCGCTTTTACACTTTATACTACTTACCCGGATAAGCTGTAGGTAGGATTAGCTTTAGTTATCAGAGCGAGTAAGGGATGAGCCACAAGTAGGATCATCCCTAGGTGTAGAATGGGCATAAGTCTATGGTTTGCACCAATACCGTCACTTAAATCGTAAATAAAATAATGGTATTGGTCGTTGGGGCATACGACGCAAACAGACCTTAACGTTTATGGCGCGAACGCAGCGCCGAATCTAGCAAGAAGAACGAGCGCACCTATCGCATCAGATGGCCCCCTTTCACCTGTCGAAAACGGCGTGCATTTTCGCGCCATTTCTACAGTTCCAATTGTTAGCTGGTATCTCCTCGCGTGAGGTAACGTTGGAATTTGGAATATTGACAAATTACTCGAGTGCCACTTGACACGACGAGCGTGAAAGATGGAATCCACCGATGAGCACGTGGACACGGAGGATACCATTCGCATCCTCGTGGCCACGGATATTCATCTCGGTTTCGACTACAGCAAAAAGAGAGGTTTGTTCTCGCGACGACACTCTTTCGACGAGGCTGCCGCGGATCAAGGGAGAGCCGGCGCAAGTGTAAGGCCCGGTCTGCGATGAGTTGTCAGGCTGATGGCAGAGAACGATCTGTAAACGCTTAAGGGCCTGGTCGAAAAAGTGGTAAGGCTGATGGCAGAGAACAATCCGTAAACGCTTAAGACTGTCTTAGTCGTAGACGTAGGGCAAGGCAGAGAGAAACGTAAGTCGTGAAGGGCTATTGTATACGACTTACGTTCTGCCATCAGCCTAACCGTTTACCATTCTGTCGTAAGACTCAAGTCTGTGTCGGAAGTGAACGCGCAAAGAATTGTGGACGCATGTCGCCTTGCGATGCGATGAATGCAACATGCGTCTACGACAATTCTTTGTACGTTGACGTCCGACATTGATTTACGTCTTACTATGCAACTGTAAACACGACAATCTTTCTGCTCAGACTCTAAGACACCTGGGCCGGTATTCATAGATCTTATATTCAAAACTGTCTTCAATTTATCTAAAGATGCTATATGGAACATTTCATTGGCTACGAAATATCTAAAGATGATCTTAAGATGGTCTTGAATATAAAATCTGACTATTAATACCACCCTTAGTCGTAGACATAAGACAAGGCAGAGAAAAACATAAGTTGTGAAAGGCTGTTGTATACGACTTAGGTCCAGTCTATAATGAGTTGTTACTCAGGAGTCAGACCTATATGTTCGTCCTTTTTCTTCCACTCAGAAGGGAAAAGGATCAACATATAGTTGTGATTTCAGACTAATAACTAATAACTCATTGTAGATCGGGCCTTGCATTTTTCTCTGCCTAAGACAGTCTTAAGATTTACGGATGGTCCTTTGTCATCAGCCTGAATTAGAAGTTAGAACTGGCGGTTCTTTCTATTTTATCTAGAAACATGTAGTTCTGACTTCTGACTATAAGCAATGACAACTCATTGTAGACCAGGGGCTTGATTCTTGAATCATTCGCAATAGTAACGTATGCAAAGATTCTGTTCTTACAGAAAAGTTGCAAGTCGACTGGCTAAAAGTCATGCAAACAGCCAATCACCGTGTAACTTTTCTGTAAGAACGGATTTTTCCCACACGATTCTTTTGCCATGGATAATCCAAGACTCAGGCTGCAGGTCTAACAATAAGGCCTGGTCTACAACGAGTCGTTAGTCATTAATCAGAAGTCGGAACTATACATTGATTCTTTTTCTTTCTGGGTGGTAGTAAACATATAGTTTTGACTTATGACTAACAACTAATTGTAGACTGGGCCTAAGACTTGAGATCGATGTCACGACTAACGTTATTGTTCCTCTCGACAGGCGGACAATCGGACGAGAGTTTCGTTACATTCGAGGAGATACTGAAGTACGGCAAAGAGAAGGAGGTGGATTTTATTCTGCTGGGCGGTGATCTATTTCACGACACTAAGCCGACGCAGGTTGCGTTACTCAAGTGCGTGGAGTTGCTGCGAAAGTATTGCCTGGGCACTAGGTAAGCGACACATGGTTTCGATTGTAAACCAAATTTATTATTGCGCAAGTGACTTTGGTGAAGACTTAAGAGTGCACTCATAGTTTTGTCACATTTTCAGAGAATGCAAGCTGCAGTTCCTGAGCGATCCAGAAATGGTATTCCGACACTGCGCGCAGAAGCTTGTGAATTATGAAGATTCGAATCTGAACGTGTCGATACCGATATTTACCATCCATGGAAATCATGATGATCCAAGTATAAATCGTTCCTTCGCTTTGCGTCTCTAATCCGAAATTATATTCTACTTGGTGTCTGGGTGTAGGTTTTGGCACTGTCGGAACGATAGACGTGTTGTCGGCTACTGGACTTATAAATTACTTTGGAAAATGGACAGACCTGACGCGCTTAGTCATATCTCCCATAGTTTTGAAGAAAGGTAATACCCACGTTGCACTTTACGGTTTGAGTTACATCAACGACCAGAGGTTATCGAGATTGTACAGGGATGAAAAGGTGTGTATGTTTATTTCAAATATATTCTATCAATAGATCGCAAACTAACGTCACATCCGAAAATAGGTGGAGTTGCTGCGCCCAAAGGATTTAGATACTTTCAATATATTCGTCTTACATCAGAATCGCGTCAAGCATGGCGATTATGCTTATATACCAGAAAGTAAATTGCACAAGTCCCTCGACTTTGTTATCTGGGGACACGAGCACGAGTGTCGTATCGATCCCGAATTCAATGCAGAAGGTACCTACCATATATCCCAACCAGGTGAGATTTTATATACATTTACTCTGTGACATCGTACATGGATAATTGGGTGTTATTTTATAAAATCCAATTCTCGAAAGTTATAAGTTAAACTCATTGTAGGAAGCTCCATTGTTACGTCCTTGTGCGAAAGTGAATCCAAACCCAAGCACGTGGGTCTTCTGAGAATAAATAAGAGTAGTTTCCACATGAACAGTTTAAAATTAAAAAGCGTCCGACCATATGTTTTTGAGAATATGATTCTCCGCGATCTTGATATTAAAGTAGGGGATTGCGTCTCGGTGGCAGACTCTGTAAGCCAGTATGTGGATCAGTATATCGAACATGAGCTTATGCCTAGGGTCGCTAAACAACTCACAGGTATGTCAATCGCTTTAGATACTATTTCTCGAATAACAGTGTTTTTATTATGAAAATTCAAATTATAATTTAAAATCCAACTTATTGTAGGATATCCTAATCAACCGATCCAACCTTTAATTCGATTAAGAATATTTTATGATGATGAGAATGAACAATTTGATACATTAAGGTTTGTAACTGCTGCATTTTTAAACATTATATAATTCTAAGTTGGTATATTTTATTCTTTTACTAAGCATTTGAAGAATTGTATTCTCTTAGTTTGGCGCAAAAGTACTGTGATGAAGTTGCTAATCCAATGGACATGATCTTGTTTCGTAAATTGAAGAGCGGAGACAAAGCCAAACGTGATATTCATGATGGAATAGATGATCTCGATGATATTACCGAATTATTCCAGGGAGATGTAAAACATAGTTTTTTTAAATTGAATTATTTAACTGATTTCACATTTGATATTGTTTTAGCATTACCGAAGTTTTTCTTTTTGTAGGCAGGGCAGGAGTGGACTAGTACGGTGCCAGGAGGAATCAAGAAATATTTTAATATGGAAGAAAATAGAGATAAGTTAACAGTATTGACTGCGACGGCATTGAATGAAGCTTTAAATCGATATGTTGAATTCAGTGATACAGATGCCTTTAAGAACATCGTAAGGTAATCAGTGATTTTTTTTTCTGCACCAACGCTTGAGAATTACTCGCGTCTCGCTTACATCGTTTTGTGGATTTACCTGTTAGAGACCAAATGGAAAGGACCATTCGATTTGTACAAGAGCAAGATACTGCGACACCAGAAGATATTCGCGAACAAATTAAAATTTTCCGCGACATAAGGCTATTAGAGGAACATGAGGAGCAGAAATGTGTAAAAAAATTACACTATTTAAATTCATTTATATACCGGTATAATATTTTTACTAATATGTTTTTTTTTATAGGCTCAGGAAGCATTAAACAGGTCACCGCAAAGTCCTAGAAAGCAGTCTCGCACTACCAACGTGATACTTGACAGCAATGACAGTGATGAAGATTCAACATTATCGACTAAGACTCGAGGAAGGGGTAGAGGTAGAGGTTCTAGAGGCGGTAGAGGATCCAGAGGAGGCCGCGGTAGAGGAAAATCTAATGAAAAGAGTGCCTGTATCGCAGAAATGCTGGTTTGTGCAATGGTCTAAAAATATTTAAGATTTGTCCATGTTAATTTAAATATCTAATGAGTATGTCTACATTTTTTTAACAGAGTTCAGCCGCGCAGTCAAAGAGAAGTCGCGGACCATGCATTGTTATAAGTGATTCCGACTAAGTATTAAATGCACACGCACATATGAAAGTGAACACTATTTATATATGTCTTGTATAAAAGTGAACATTATTTTGTACGATTACAAGAGTTTAATAAACATTATGTTCCTATACACCATGTATGTAATTTAAATAGTATAAGCAGAGAGAAACTCGCGAGAGTGGCCACGCCGGCGTTTTACTTGATACCGTTTTCGCTCGGTTGATTCCAGCGCTTTACGCCCATTTTCATTTTTAAAACTATTCCGCTACACTCATTTTCAAGCATTGCCGAAAAAGTCTCCACTTGTTTCGTGTTTTTGTTGACAAGCTACGTTGTACTCCTTTTACCAACTTTGTAGTAACAGAAAGGAGTGTGAATCAAAATTTGTAGTAGATTGTTCTCGATAAACTTGGTTATCTATATATTTGATTATAACTTTGTATTTTCTGGTTATAAATGAAATGCCTTTTTTTTTAGATTTGAATTAAATTTTTATCTCATAAAAACAGACCAACTTGTAGAGGCCCTCCACCACCCCCGCCGCGTTTAATCGGCGGTCCTCTTTTTTACAATTTGATTTTTTACGTTTTTCTTATAATTTACTTTACAATACATACAATATTATAAAAGAAATGATGACATAAAATTAAAAATATAATATCTCTACAATACTCTACCTATACTCTAAGAAATATGGATGTAAATTCTCACCAATGGTGTGAAATAAACACCCATTCAGGTGTTTATATAACAGTTACAGTCATGATGTAAAAAGAAAGGTGTATCATTGCGCATAGCGGCGGCGGCACGATGAGCGAGCCAATGAAATTTGGGTCCAAATGCACATAGCTACTGCAAGAAAGGTGTATCATTGCGCATAGCGGCGGCGCACGATGAGCGAGCCAATGAAATTTGGGTCCAAATGCACATGACTACTGCGCATACACGATGTTGTTACACCTTTCTTTTTACATCATGGTTACAGTTACGTATGGCGTCGTCATGGCAAAACAATATAACATTAAAGTTGACACCGCGTTTGTCGGTGTGAAAGTTTTTCTACAATATCAGTGTTAAAATTCACATCGAGTTATTTAACTATATACGTGAATGTGGTGAAATACTCTGTATGGTGAAAGTTTACACCACTATTTTTTAGAGTGTAAATATTTCTCTTGACGTTATACTATATGAAATATTTGGTATACGTGCAATAACACGAAATTATTTGTACGTAGTTATTATATTAAAGTTATTGTTACTTCGTTAATTTATGTTATCTTATCTTTTAAACTCTCGAATTATGTCCCCCTATCCCTGACTATCCGAATCCCTACCTACCCGTATTCCGATCTATAGACCTACCTATTCATTTTTTACCTATACCCGTATTTCAATGAAACATTTTTAATAAAATTCCAGACTTTCAAAAATCTTGTCTGTAAGATTCGAACACAAATAAATTCACGAATATTGACCTAGCTGACCGTCGTTTTCTCTACGAAACGAATTTTTCTATTAAATATCCGATGCTCGTTGTTGGACATCGACGTAGCTAAATTCCCTATAACTTGCGCATGACGAGTAACGGCTCGACTCGCTCGTCGGAGTACGCCACCGGAAGCGGTAGTTCCTTTTACGATTCGTGTGCAACTCTCGTTGACAGAGGAGGTTATAGCTGTTATAATTCCGAGGTATTTCGACGATAAATATCGTTTATTCCGCAAAAATATCGCGTTCGATTCGTTGATTGTACATTTATGAGCAAAGTCCGACTGCGGAATCGTTCTGCATTTGACAGCTCGCGTGGATGCGGCTGGATAAATTTTCATGTTTGATAGCGTACTTTCTTCTCCGCGCATCGCGACCTAACCTTAAATCCTTTCTCGAGAATGTTTATACAGATATAATAAACAGGCGAGCGAATTACAGAATAATAATCGGAGATATCCGCTATTTCCGTAGAAATGCCGCCGAAAAGAGGAAAGGTACAGAAGGAAGAGGTGCAGGTCTCCCTCGGACCTCAGCTTCGCGAGGGAGAGGTCGTCTTCGGGGTGGCTCACATCTTCGCCAGCTTCAATGACACGTTTGTGCACGTTACCGACTTGTCGGGCAGGTTTGTATTACGGTAGATTACGATATGTCACAATAAGATGATAATTCAGTAAAAATATAAAATGCAACAAGTGACTGAACTTTTCGAATTAAAAGTAAAATTAAAAAGAATTTAGGCTGTGAAAGTCAAAAGCGGTTATTAAGGCCAAGTTCTAGCATCGTGGATTCTAGCCTTTAGTGTGTGCCAATCTAAGAGAATTGCGTGAATTCTCTTAGTCTGCAATGGTGCACACCTTAGAGAACTCGTTGAAGATGGTTAAAACCTTTAACCGAAACATCCCGGAACTTGTAATCAAGAATTGTATTTGAATTATATTAGATTGACACGAACTAATAACCACATTTGTAATCAAGAATTGTATTTGAATTATATTAGATTGACACGAACTAATAACCACGTTTGACCCTTCCAGCCTAAATCCTTTTTTATTTTACTTATAATTTAGTAATTTTTACATGTAACTGTATTTGTAGGGAAACGATCGCCAGAGTCACCGGTGGTATGAAGGTGAAGGCAGATCGTGATGAAGCCTCGCCGTACGCAGCTATGCTTGCAGCTCAGGTATGTTGTTTGTGTGATTTTCATTAACTTCGGGTTACTTGGAGAAAGTCGTTATGTCCACATCCAGGCAGCACCTAGATGACAAATCGATTTAATCTAAGGAGCGTTCATGTTTGTGGAAGAGCAAATTCTTTTTGATAATCGAGAATGTGTGCTTATGCCGTGCACTGTTTTTCTCCATAAGAAAAGAAAACATTCAATCATATGTTATTTATGTATCACATGTAAATTCGAGATATTTAATGTTATCATTAAAATGTTAATCGTAGACTGATTTTCCACTTTGCAGGATGTTGCGGAAAAATGCAAATCATTGGGCATCACAGCGCTGCATATTAAATTGAGAGCTACGGGAGGCAACAAAACAAAGACCCCTGGCCCGGGTGCACAGTCTGCTCTGCGCGCTTTAGCTCGTTCGAGCATGAAGATTGGTCGTATCGAAGACGTTACTCCTATCCCGTCGGATTCTACTCGCAGGAAGGGAGGTCGTCGTGGACGTAGGCTATAAGCTATTCTTATGGCTTTCTATATGGTTTATCTTTCAATAAATATTTAAAAAGAGATTGCATTTTTTGTGAAATACATATTTCCTCCAATTTTTATATAACGATACATTTTCGAAACTACATGCTTCCATTATAATTTACAGGTTTTTGTTACAAATTCTTAACATAAGTTCATTTTTTATTTAGAAGAATAAATATGAATAAATATTAAACTTAAAAAAATACGTATATAAAAAATTGGAGCATGATTAAACAGCATAGATTTCTATCTTGTACGTGCTTAGTATCAGTAAATACATTAACGTGTATTAAGCATAATACAGAAATTCATTGAAGCATAAAAATATTTAGATATCTGATATTTAATTTGATCGGCTATTGAAAAATCTATAAAGCATTCATATAAAATATTCTATCTTCTAATTATTTTAATTAAATCATAAATTATGTTTCGCCAACTAGCAGCTGACCAACAGTAAGATACAACTTGACTTTTACATCTACTTTCTGCGGAGATTTATGCTCCAGTGCTGCAATAGTATTTACGTATCCATGTTGCATGACAAATCCAACTACAACTGGGTCGTCACTATTTTTATTAGTCTCATGCGGAGTTACGTGCAAACGTATTACCGCCTTGTTTCCTTTTCGCCATACTACGAGCCTAAAAAAAATATATAAATGATAAAACCTTATTATTTTCGCACATCTTCGTATTAATTTTACACTTTTATATTCCATATACTTTGGATCATCCTGGAAATTGTGATTGTCACTTGTGTCGTCGTATTCAGCAGCATCGTCTCTTGGTGGAAGAATCAATGAGCTGTGCGGCATCATCAAGTCTGCATTTGGTACAACTTTTATTGCCTTGGGATCTTCTGTTACAAGTGCCTGTCGTATAGTAGATGGCAATAAATTTGGTGATTCACTCCCCTGCAATTATAATCAAATTATTAAAATATGTTACACTCTATGATAAAATTTTCTTTCGGCATTACCTGTGTATCGTCTTGTTTGCCATCTTTCTCCTCGGTGAGCGAAGTAGATAACGAGGTATCCAAAGGCAATATAGTTATCTGCGTTTGATGTTGCGTTGGATTACAAAATTTCAGAAGCAATTCACTCGATTTCCCCGTTCGAAGTGGTTCGCAAGTAACGATCTTGACTTCTGGGATATGATAGCTAAAAAAATGCAATTCTGATTATATGTCCAAGAACATGATATCAATCGAAACTGTTTCGTTGCAATTAATATTAATAATCGACTTCCTGATCGCAACTTACAATGCAGCTAGTAAGATCTTGAATTTTGTCGATTGAGGGCAAAGATCCGATTTGCTAACGTTATGCTCACACACTCTGCAACGTTGCGACCTTTTGACTAAAAACTGTCTATGCTGAGGACGCAACTCGTTTATCTTTTCAGCCTGTACATCTGGGTGTTGTAATCTTTGTTCCAACGTAGTAACTGTTACAACAAGATTATACGCGGTCAGAACAAGATCTAGCATCAATGCTGCCTCGCTCGCTTTCTTAGTTCACTTACTTTTAGTTATATCCACAGTTTCTGTAAATATATCGCTCGGTAATTCGTCCACTTCCTCGCTCGCGACGGATGGTACTGGGTGAGCGGATGATTGAGACTGAATGGGTGGTTTCATGGAACGTCCGATACGCTTGCGAACCATCGCCGATGTAAAACTGTACATCGTCTGCTATTGACAAGCAATAACAGTTAGAAAAACGTCTTTGGACGAACAAATATCATTATCTCTCGCTAAACTCACAGCTGGCATGAAGGAGCGTTTCGGATGAAATTTCTTCCTCTCGCATTGCTGTTTCTCTATAGATGCTAATATCTTGTGATAATCAATCAGAGTGTTGATACGCGTTATGTGCGGATTCTCCTGCTCGGGCCATCCTCCAGTTGCTACGAAAAGAGAAATTCAAAGTATATTTTGAAGAAATTGTTGTATGCAGCTTGTCTTTACAAAATCATTGAATAGCGGAAGCTGTTCTTACCTACAGATTGGTCGGGTATCCCCGCATCACGGGAGCTCCATCGGCACAGTGAACAAAATAGATAATACACTTTTTTGGGAGTGGCTTTGACGTCCTTGCTCTCTTCTCCCTCGGTTGATGCTGCTGTTGTCGTTCTAACAGGTGCCAGTCCCGCTCTCGTAGATAACGTTTGAAAACAGCAAGGACAGTCGAAGCAGTTGAAACATCTATCGATATATCGTTAATAACAACTAAATTAATAACAACTAAATTCATAATCTCGTCTCTCATACTTGTAGCCTAATACATACTTGTTCTTTTTGAGACGCACTTCCGATGATGGCAAATTCTCCATACAATTGGGACAGTAATGGGAGTCAACCTGAACAGAAGAGACATTGATTTTCCAAAGAGCACAAGAGCTTTGTACATGTCAGAATGTGTCTGGAGTGAATTCAATTACTAAGTGTATTCCCAATGTTATATTAGGTGGTAAAGGCTCACATTTAGATAACGCTAGTTGTAAGCGTAATTTACTTTGACATCTGAAACTGGCTACGTTTTAAAGGTTAGACATTTGTCAATAAAATTCAGTGCGAAAAGGATTGCATCAAAAGACCAATCGTTCTATCGTTGCAGAATCCACTCATTGCCGGAAAGATGAGAAAAGTGTATAGCTAGCGAGGGTAAACACTTTGATTGACGTATTTTTTGCTTTTGATATCGAAATAAATGAGTTTGTTAAACAAAAAACACCGCGGAAACTAAGTTTACCACCTAATATATCCTCCGGTTCGGATTTACTTGTATACGTGGGAGAAACGTACCTCTTGACAGACGCAGTAGCCGCATCGTATCATCAAGCAATGTCGGCAGAAATATATCTTGGATATGGGCTTCAAGGAGCCGCAGTTGCACAGGTAGCGCACGTAATCCGGCTGGTTCAAGTACGTCATGATGAACTGGGTGAGCTCGGAAGCTCACGAAACGATATGATAGAGACGTCGCCGGGCGTTCTTCGCGCTTCTTCCTCGAATTGATCGGTCGATTTCTTCGACAAGGACAAAGCTGGCCATAAACGTGCGTAGTGACTCGGAGTCAGTAGCTGCAGATCCCGAGGTAGCAAGTTCTCCGATTACCGTAGCGGGACGAATGACTCGGCAATAATAGGTCGAATTGGTCCAACCTCGTCGAATTCAGAAGGGAGTAACAGTTCACCTCTGACAGGCCCTCCTTTGCTCGTATGCGCCGAAGTGCTCTACCTGTGGCCTGGGCGTTCTCCGTGCGATAACCTCAAAAGTTCAGCCCCTGAAGTGACGTCTGCCATTCATTCACTAGCGCCTCTATGTGCACGGAACGCAGCCACGTCCGTCAATATTTTCAATGGATAACACATCCGCGGTCTTCGGTTCTATCCCGAGGTTTCCTGTGAAAGTTGGAAAACAAAATTGAAGAACAAGAAAATATTAGCGTCACGTATTCGCTGTAGTCTCGAAATGTTTGGCGCTTTCCGAAATAAATTTTTACACGCGTTCACATCCGAGAAAAGAATTTATGTCCGATATTAATAGAATAAATCACTGACATGATATGAGAAAGATACATGATTCAGATAGCAACTTTCAGGTTGCAAAAGGGACTTTCTAAATGTTCCACGATTGAATTTTGAAAGACTTTCTGAGGGAGGTGACAGGGGGGTGAAATTAAAAAGATTTTAAATAGCATTCCCTGAAAAAAAAAACCACGAGGGGGTCAATTCTGTATCTTGCAACATAGTGAAAATGCTAAAAGTGAGCGCCTTTGTTTCTTTCTAAGGCGACAGTTAGAAAGAGACAAAGCTACTCTTGCACAGTTAAAAAATTTGTGTTAAATTTAACAGATATTACATGTCCCAAACGGTCCACACAAATTTTTGTATTAATTTAACGTAATATGGATATGTTAAATAATTACACTAATACTCTTTTATATTTGAACACAAAATAAATGCAAAAATAATTTGAAATACATTTTGTGTAAAATTAACATATTTTTAATGACAAAATGAATTTAAAAAACTTCAAAAAAACTTTCGAAAAATTTATAATTACAGTTAATAGAAAATAGAATTTTATCATATTCTTTAGAATTATGGTGCATGATATGTTGGAAAAAAATTGTATTCTATGCAAAATAAAGTACGTCACCTTTTTTTACGATTCTGTTATCCATTAAAGTTTACTAAATAAATTACTAAATTACTAAATAAATTACTAAATTCAACGTTGAAATTGCCGAATGTTATACGGCGAATCCAATTTATGAACTTTTTACAGCACAGTACAAAAAACTAGCATTTAATGATGAAAATGTTATTAATCTTAATTAATAAAATTCATAAGGCTCTAATGTGAAAACACAAGTAGGAAGTGATAAAGGAGTAAGAGCCAAGACAGGATATTAGTGTCTAAATAATTTTAATTGAAAAATTAAAAATGAAATTATTACTCTTATAATATATAATATATTATTTATAATAATATAAAAATGAAATCAAATTATTTAGACACTAACATCTTGTTGGTGTCTTGGCTCTTTTTTATTAATCTTATATAATTCGCGCATGCACCCACAGGAAAAAATTTCCGGATCTAATGCTATTACACTTCAATGTATCATAAAATAGAATCGCTATAGCGCCAATCATATTTATTATAGAGAGAGAAAGAAATATTTTAATCTTGAATCAAAGATTGTAAAATCTAGAATAAAATAATAGTACGTATCGCCTTTTGTCGAATATCGTGGTGCCAACTTCGTGCGTTGCAAGATGGAGGGAAATTTTATTCTAAACGCAAGACTATATAAACTCGCATTTATATAAGTTACTCTTGTCTCAGTATTTACAGTAAGTCAATCTCTTTTAATTCGATAGAGGAAAAGTAGATTTATTGATTTTATTTTGATATTGTCTTACTTTCATACTAAATGAGGTTGTGAGAAATATAAATGCGTGAATATTTTTTGTCTCGGTAACAGAAATCCTTTCTGAAGGTGTGAATACGGGGATCTGTCCTTACAAATTACACATCTCGATCTTCCATCGATACGCATGTCGCAATGCTGGCGGAGCCTGCAGAGATATTGCTCCCTGATATTTTTTTCAATCTCAAGACTACGTACGATCTCTTGTTACGTAGGTTTTTTTTTCACAGGATTACTATTTCTCGCTTTTCTGTCTATTTTAGTCTTAGCACACCGGAAATACGTACACGGATGAAAGTGGAAGGATTCGTGAGCGCGCGGTCATGGAGTACCATCACGCGATGGTATGCTGGATACGCATAAACCCAGCGGAGCGTACAGAGCAGTTGATAATTACCGCGCATACTTGTACGAGGGCGCGAAGAATGAAGGATCTCGCGGGCAGGAGGCATCGGCGCGAGCACTCGCGAGATATCTCGTTATCATTTTCCCCAAATGCTCCGATCGGTAAGTCGCAGGAATCCAGTTTGCGGCCGAGGACTTCCTGTGCGTTATGCAGCTGCCGCGGACACGGCAATTGCAGCCGCAAAGAATTTCTCTGCACGGCCGCGGATCATTCTCGCGGAAAGAGAGAAGGGCGACGATCACGTGAGTAAGAGTGAAAGTTTGGCGAGGAATGCCTCGCAAATTATCGGCGTGATCTCCGCCTTCTGCATATAATAAAGGACGATCAGTTTTCGATTAACGTCCAAGATGAACCCGAGGTGGAGAACTTTGCACGTTTTGCTAATCAACCGTGTACGCCGTGGCGAACGCAATTATATAAATCTCCCAAACGTCGCGAGAACTTGCTCGCTCCTGTTATAACAGTGTTGGTAACAGCGCGCTCTCAACCACGTCCATTATTCCGATATTAGACGGTGCCTCGGCATTAGAGAATCACTATAGTGGTCACGTGGGATATGAATTAGAATTGCTTAGGTAATCCCGTACTGCGCAACCTCATCGTACCTTCTAATGACGCTTGACCGCAAGGTTAATAACTGGAGAACACGTAAATCTATCTTCGTTTTCCTAAGATCGGCCTAACTGTACGTGGAACAGTAATCAAGAAGGGGGTTCAGGAAGCTAATGTTTTATTCATGAGCCTTAAAGTCCCGGACTACAAGGGATCGCGAAAACTTGACTGATTTTAATGAATCCCGGGAGTGTTTGGCCAAACGGCCATCTCTCTCTTTCTCTCTCGGTTAATTTGACCCCCCGGCCATCCCTGTTCACCAAACTATCCAGCCTCTGCTTCAAGGATAATCTTGCGAACGAACATCTGCTCGAGACTAACAGTATACATAACCGTATCGAGATTATGCAAGACTAGCCGATAGTCGGTGGATGGTAATGGCAGATGCTTTACGCCAGTAAACGTAATATTAGTCGACGTTGCAGCGGTTGATGGTGCATGGCGAGGTCTAACGGTGGAACCACCATAACGCCCCGTAACAGCGACTCGCTTCTCCACGGCATCCTAGGAACTTGGTGCCATTTGGAGCACCGCTGCGCCGAGGTATTCGATAATTGATGATGCATCTTGAATGAAGACGATATCTCATTCAACGATAAGATCTTACATGCAGGACGCCTTTTGTTAGGCGCACTTCCTCTGAACCGCAGGTTCTCCGGTCAAGTCTCGAATTAATCTCCCCCATGGGCTCGAGAAAAATCATAACTTATCAACTTGGTGAATGCGATTTACCAATTTTTTATGTTTATTATTTGTATAAGCGTCCGGCTACACGGAGAGAATTTTCTCTCAAAATTTATCCTGAAAATCATGTAATCGCGAAGTGACATGAGATGAAATTTTACCATACATTTTACCAATAAACTAGCAGAGTTTCAAAAACTCTCATAAATTTCTTCAAAATACCATGTTCCACGGTTACATGATTTTCAGGGTAAATTTTAAGAGAAAATTCTCTCCGTGTTGAATTCTGACAAAGTAAAGTCTACTTGAAATTAACTCAAGAGTACAATCTTGTCCTTTTTTTCGTTCCTCCGCGAAGCGTTGGACTTTTAAAAAGATATTTTATTTTGGGTGCTTCAGCATTTCGTGCGAAGAAGCGATCGAAGAAAAATGGATGAAAAAATTTACAGATCAAAGAAAGCGCGCTCGAACACAGCGAGTATCAATTTCTACAAAGTAAGTGTAAGAATGTCCGTTAAACCGCCGATGCGTGCAATTGAAATTTGCAAATAGCACAGCTAAGTAACTTTTAACTGGCGGCAATTATCGAGGGTCCGACGATAACTTTCTCGATGTTCATGGAAATTCACCGGCGGCTCGTACGAGTCGGAGAACATTATTTCCTGTGATTTACGAACCGTGCACGGTCTTGGACGAAGCTTGTAATTCGATTTTCGAACAGGAGCGATCGACGTGATTTCGTTTACGAGCTGTGTGTTTAACGAACGCAACCGCGTTCCTTACCCGTACCGTGATTCCTCGATCACGCGTAATTGCCCGGCGGGATTGTTCCGCGTGCGACGAGGACACGGTGCGCGACTTTATTAGCGCTCTACCCCGCCGCAACGGTGTGTGCGCGCGCGGCGCAATAAAAGCTTCTTCTCTTTCCCCGGTGAGAAAACGGGAAGAGGAAAATAGCCTGCGTGCCGCGCGGAATCAACGGATTATTAATGACTTTAATGGCGCGCGTGATTCTTTATAGGAAATGTCATGGTAAGCCGGTGCGCGCGCGCCATGGCCGCACAGTCACGTAGAACTCACGGCGAAGAAATCGCTCTATTCCCTGCAAAATTGCGTACAACGAATTGCGAATTACTTTGTTTATGTTTCCACAGTAGCGGGAGAATTTCTTTGCCCATTAAATCGCTTATTACTAATAATTTCGGGCTCTCGGTAATTTACAGCGGCAATTCAATTATTTATAATTTCCCTTTGCATAATACGTAGATTTCTAAGCGAACGCGGTTTTTTTTATCGGGCGAGAGATCGTACTGATCTAATCGTAGCAAAAATGTGAGGTTTTTCAAAGCAATAAAGGCAAGATTGAATCACTCCATTATGTTCCTCCTAAAGATATCGGCAGTTTCTTTTCCTGCATTGCGCAACGTTTGTGAAATTTGCATAAACAAAAAATAGACAAGCGAGAGCGAAAGAGACGGAGAGAAGAAGCAATCGCTGAGAAGGAATTATTCCTCGCTGATTTCCCTTCTCATCGTCCTTCAATCTTTTGTTTTTTCTCTCTCTCTCTCTCTCTTTACTACAGCTGATCACGTCACTGCACGCGGATAGAGAAACCGGACGCCACGCATCGCTCAATTAATCAGTTCCTCGAGTCGCGGCGCGCGTGCTCGTCTGCAGGAAAGATTTTTCAGAGACGCACGCGCGGGGCGGGGGAGATGGACGAACA